ATCACGCGCTCTTTGTCTTTCGCAGCGCTTTGGCTAGAATGTATTTTGGCTGCGTGTATAGGGAGTATTCACTGTCGGCCATAGCTGTGTGCGCGAATGCTGAGCGCGTGCTGATGGCGAGCTTCCACAGTTCTTTTGCAACGTGCATTCCGCACCATCAAGAGTGCCGGTCTTAGCAACCTATTGATGTGAGCTCGCTCTGAGCTTGCGCTCTAAACAGCACCCACAAATATGGCGTCCAGTGAATACTTCCTACAGCTGCGTGAGCACTCTTCCGCTTTCAAAACGAGAAAGCTCGCGCTGGAGGCGGAGCTTCGACTGCGCTCTTCGCCTGTCACCACGACTATTCGCCCCGAGATTCGATCGACACGGCTCATACGGTAAAAATCGGAACTATGCTTTGTTTTACACTTACTTGGAGCAAAAGGAATGCTGCGCACGTGAGGCCGAACCCATGGGAGACGCCAATGCAGCGCTCGCGCACTGGGATCAAGTGCTAAGAGCTCGTGCTCTGTACCCTTGCCCGTGCTCTGTGCCGCTGGTGTGGATGCTTTGTCTCCACCCGCATTGCGGACAAATGGAATCACCACATGCCTCATAGAGAACCATAGATAAACAAAAGCACGCTTTCATACAATCCAATCTGGGTCTCGAGGCCAATAATGTTTGTTTTGTGCGCCATAAAGAGAGCAAGACGCGTTATCGGAACTGTTTTCTGACGCCTATAAACGAGACAAAATGCCTTTATATAAAATCAGCTTCGATACTTAGAGTGATGACATAACGAGGAAAGGATCATGCCGGCGGCATCGCTTCTTTCGCCTATTGTTCGTGATAGCCTAGATCAGGGGTCTGACACACGGACCGCATGCGGCCCGCGACTCGCCGAGACGCAGCCCGCAGGCAACCGGCTACGAGTCCCGGTTCCCATGTCTCAAGTACTAGAAATGGCCTGCGCCATCGTGATCTCATCTCGCCTATTCATTTTCGCTCGGAAATTGGCCCTCTTTTATCAACTTTTTCACATCGTTTTTACATACCGTATTTGTGTTCATTTGCCCTTTGTTTCGCTTTATGTTTTGCTTCCCAGTTTTTTGTAATGTACAACAATTCCGCGACTAGGCTGCAAGCGTGAACTCTTCCTTGAAAAATGCATCTCGGAGAATTCTCGATCAGCAGGAGCAATACTGCCTAAGATAAAACTACAAGCTCGGAATTCTCGCCTTAAAAAAAAAAAAAAATATATATATATATATATATATATATATATATATATATATATATATATATATATATATATATATATATCGCCATTAAAAGACAAGTACATGGGTGTTGCAATGAAAATCTTTGGGAAAGCAAGAACTGCCAAATTAACTGATTCTTTCATAGAGACATATCGAGCTTGGTTAATTCGCGAGTGAATTGAGCAACGGGAACGTCAGTGTACTTGCTCTCCTATTTTAAAAATGCGAGCACGTTTGCGGGGCGGTGTCATTTTAATTATCATTATCACATCAAGTCAGGGCCCAGAGTAGTCATATAAACAAATGAAATCTAAAAACGTCCCTCGGAAAACTGAGTTTACCTAGATTGTAGCCTAGATTGTAGAGAGGGTCCAACTCAAACTATGGGGAGCGTTTGCCGTTTGAAAGCGGACGCTTCTATCGGAGATTGGTCGCAAGTGTATCTTGTTAGCTCCATAACCTAAAGGTGTACCTTCTGTTTGCAAGTATAGAAAAATGCTCATGCACTCTTTGGTGTAGTGTCCTTAGGTATGGTGTCACTCTATTTTTTAACTGCTTTCGACAATGGCACGCCAGAATTGATAGCATTCTGAGGGGGACGTTGAAAAGTGTTACTTCAACACCTCAGGTGATAACTTATTTAGTTTACTCAAATTGTCTTGTTTCTATTCGTTATTTATTCAGGCGGTTGATTTTTGTCACTTTCGATGCAGTGATTTTAAAACTGAGAGTTTGGCCCCACGTATATTTAGAACACTACTCGGCTTTGAAATTCCTCGTATCTATACTCATTATGGGGAAAGCATTAGGTAATTTTACGTGCCGAAGATTTTTAATGAGCTACCAGATAACTTATTCTAACCATGGGTTCAAAAAGAGTCTGAAAAAATTTATTACATGATATCAGCAGGTGATAAATCTACAGTTAATATTTAGTGAGTTATGTTGCTACCTGCTATTTCTGCAAGGAATGGGCTGTACCGCAAGGTCATGCAACATAAGCCTCCCTTGGCTCACGCAGACCTGAATTTGTATTTGTTTATTGCTATGAATAAAAATGTATAATTATTATATTATTAATAGTATTATTACTAGTATTATTAAGTGCACATGCACTGCGTTATCGCGTGACTATACCCCGTCTCACTAAAACTGTGCAGTACAGCCAAAGCTACAGGAGAGAGTGTACCCCTGACCTGTTCAAGAGGAGGGAAAGGGGGAAGGAGGGAATCCCGTTCCCCCGTTCCCTCCTCGTGAACAGGTTAGCACATGCTCTCTCCCCTGTAACTTTGGCTGTACTGCACGGTTTTAGTGAAATGGAGTATAGACACTTTTTACAAGGGCGCCCCAGTATCGACGAAAACGTTGTTTTGCCGTCGCTACGCCAATATAATATATTTAGGATATAAGTGGTAGCCGTCACACATTCTCGTTTTGCCGCCCCTCTATTTATTTATTTTTATTACTATTTACAGGTTGAAGCGTTTTATTATTTTTTCGTCGCCCATACATAAATATGAGGATGGCTCCGGTCAGCTGTGCCCGGAAGCAAAGCGAGAGGCGCCTTCGGGTCGCCAACGTGGCCTTCAACGAAGGATTATTGAGTTGACTGACGAAGTTCGTCCCGAGAGCCTTGGAGAGATTCCGCCTTCTCCTAGCTTCTGGCGCGTTTGTGGGATTATCCCTTACCGCATGGATTATCCTCTTCCTCCGTCCGGACTTCGATGGCGACACAGCGACGAAGGACGTCTGGCCCCTCGGCGCGGGTGTGGTTAACGCGAATGGCGGTGTTTGAGGGAGAAGGAAAGGCATAGCTGTACGTTGAGACAATGGCCCTATCGCTTTGGCCGGGGCATTGTCCATCGGGATTCCCTGCTAGCGATATGGAGAAATGTGACGTTATAAAAGGAGCGGCAGGCGGCTGCTAGCGTGGGTGCGATTGCGCTATGAGCAAAAAGTTTCCATGTGCCGCCAACGAAGTTTTGACGCAAAAAAAACATTTTGTCGGCAAAAAAAAAGCCGCTTGTAGTAAAACATTTACGATCTCGCGAAGTACTGGTAAGCAAAGTAAGGTTACCGTCATAATCTAAACCCTGAAAGAAAGGAGAAAAAAAAATACTGAACAAGACGACTCTCCTTGTATCAAGGTTTAAATTATATTTCCTAAACAGCTCACGTGCACACTTTCGCCCCTTGCCAAGGTTATCGTGTCGCAGACGGCACAAGCCGATGCCCCGGCGGCGGCGTCTCTGTGAGCGTGCACACGGCGGCGCCGCTGCCCGATCGCCATCTGGCCGGGCAAACAGCCCAAATGTGCGCTTGAAGCGTGGAAACGGCGTGATGAAACGAAAGGCCAAGGGTATCCATAGGACGAACGGAGAAAGCAGAGGCAAAGGTGTGCACCAACGTAAACAACGGTAGAAAAGTGCGGTCGCTCGCCGCTATGAAATCCGTCCGCAAACTCAGTAATGCGCGCCCGCATTCCTTTCCTGCTGCTCGTACTTTTTCTAACTTGATGATTACTCTGTCGCGGGGCATGCCGACGAAACGCTGGGCGGGGCACTTAGCAATCCACCACTTTCCGAGTTTCCGGTTCGAGGGTAACCCGAGGCACATGTTGCCAGGCCGGATTAGTGGCGTAGGAAAACAAAGTCTCCATCTTGCGCTAGTCTGAGGCTCCCGGCACCATCCCGACGTCGTTCGATACGATGCCGACGCACTGTGTCGCGTTTGGGTGTCGAAACTGGCATCGGAAGGGGGAGGGGAAGAGCTTCTTTTGCTTTCCCTCTGCGAAATTCGACCCAAATCGAAGAGCGGCGTGGGTAAACGCGGTGAAGCGGGCTCACCCGACAGACCCGAAGAAGGCTTGGGAGCCGAGCCAGCAGTCCCGATTATGTGGGGCGCACTTCGTCACTGGTAAGTCGCTTCAATCGCAGCTGAGAAAAACAAACACAAAGCGTTGGGTAGTTGCATGATCGTTACATTGCCGCTCTATCAAACAGGAAAACCGTCGCTGGATAGGCACCACCCGGACCATGTGCCGACTATCTTTGCTCACCGGAAACAGCAGCCATCTCTCGATCGCTACGAGCGATGGAAACATCGCGGGTCCACTGAAGGTACGAAGTGACGATGGTCATAAAGGCGCGTTCACGCTGTGGAATTTTACTCGCGTTTTGAATTCGCCGTCTGAACAAGACAAGAAAAAAGACGTGCGTCTCGTAAAAAGGATGCGCGCGTTCATCGCTTCTGGAGCGACCTTTTCTAATGCCAGTTCTTGGAAATGTATGCCCGCCGACGTTTTTGTTGTGTTTGCGCTTATTAACTCCTCTGCCTGACGACGGTTGATCGGTATTGACTGGACTTTATAATCGTGCGCATATGGAAGCGCGAAATCTGCCTATATAATAGTCAGTGCACCAACTAGCCATTTTACATGACGAACTCATCTAATCGCGAGCTAGTAGTATTAAACAGCATCTTCTGGTTTGTGTGTGTCCTTGCTCGTCAACCTCAAACAAGCATAACCTTGCGCGTTCCATTTTCCAGTAAGTCCAAGTGGCCTGTACCAAACTGAGAATGTGGGCAAATCACCATAATCACACTCTAGCTTTACTTGTTTCGCCTCTGATATTGTATGTCATCTTCAAACAACGAACCAGTACGAAGTGCTGGTTCTGCGTGCGTGCAGCAGGGAGCATCATAGCCAGCAGCCCAGCCTTCTGCAGCAGCAGTACCCTCCTTGGCCCTTGCTAAGGAGCTCCCAGTTGCCGACCCCCTTCCAGAAGGTTCCGGCGGTAACCCATTCCCGTGCTCAATCTCAACGGGTATTTCGAACGTAGAGCCACTGCCCGAAGGTAAGGATCGACTACTAACTCAGTCATTGCTACTAAATTATTATTATTAGATGCGGGGCTTATTCCCTTGCCTTGTTTTCTTGAGATAGTGTTCGCAGGACCCAGTGAAAGAATGTTAGGTGACACACCATCCTGAGATGATGCCGACAGAGCACCAGACCATGCGGAGGACACAAATCTAGCCACATTCTACTTCTACAATTTTTTTTAGGAACAGATATAATTTTATACCTGTTTTCACATCAAGAACCGTAGTAAAAAAAGTTCGCCGCCTTGTGGAGCATTACTGATTTCCACCTTTATGTAGAGAATTAAGATATATGTAGGTGCATTCTAGATTAGATGTATGTTATCTTATCAAGACGTACACATTCCAAACTCCAAAAAGCGTTGCTTTTTTCTCTGATAACTAAATCTTGTAAGAACTACTTTGCCCTGCGTATGAACAATGCGCAAGACTCGCTTTTCTCTTGAGGTGAAAACAGATGTAGGTGCGACACACTTAAAAAGAGAAACGATTTAGACATTGCATGAGTGAAGTAAACATTCAAGAATGCTAGCACTAATCATTTCACATCCCTGAAGTAGAAAAGTAAAATAATTGCTTCTCTAAAATGCTATGCACCAATAGTGCAGACGGGCACGAGCAAACACGTAGGCAAGAATGTTTCCCTTCCAAGTGCTGTCATGTTGTCGTTGCACCAAATAGCTCGTCTCTTCGAGGACGTGTTGGTACACCATCGGGACATGCGTCTAGGCCGCTGCAACCACGGTAGCACTCCACATGCACAATGAATTTTCACTCAGTCTGCCATGCCACGCCAACGTTGATCTCTGGCAAAGTGCTTGCCAGCGGGTCGCGGCCGCCGGGCATACACGTGACAGCTCTCTTCTTGAAACGTGATTGGTCGCTTCTTTCAGTCGCTCGAGACGCAGCATAGAAGTTTGACCCGATCCTACTTGCTCCGTTAGAAACGACCGGGTGCTTGGTGCTCCGTTGCTATGACAACTCGTCGTTGCAACATTGTTGGAGTTTGTAAATGTTCTGGCTGCCCCAAATGCAGATGCGTGAACGGGCCTTTTTTCATCTACGCTCATTGGTTCAAGAAACCTGCATGTGACCACGACTTCAGTTTTTGTCTTTTGACTTGTCAGCTGGCCCATTGCCTTTGTCTGATATGATTATAGCAAGTTGCTCTAATCATACTCCAGGGCCCGTTTGCTCAAAGCGCTAGCCGCGGCTAAAGTTAGCCGCAGTACCTAGGAGAGGGATTTTGAAATCCCGTGACTGGCTCGGTAGGAATGCGGGGAAACATGGCGGCACCCCAGTGAGTAAGCGCCGCTCGCTTTGGAAATAATATATCGTTGTAGCTGCAATATCGGGCGTGTTAGTCAGCAACTAATGGTGCAGGAGGCTTTCAGTTTGCCTTACCTCACTTAAATTGCAAAGCATGAGCAATGACCTCGCCACATTATTTAGATAGTCTTTCGATTCTGGCCATTCCCTAGCCTAAATGAACGCGATAATTGTCGGCACGGCAACGTCTTTGGAAGGTGGATTGCCTTGTCTCAATCGGCCGGGTATTGATAGCATACAAAAGCAGACAGCACCTCAATAGACCTTTTTCTAAATGTCCCAAGCGCCGAGGTCCATGCTACGAGTGTAGTTACATGCATTGCACGTGCTGGCGTCTGCAGTAGTAATTGTTCTAAAGCAAAAAGTCGAAAACAAATTTTGCCTTGCACGCGCGTTCGTCAAAGCCTTATTATGATTATTTACTTGGAATCTATGGTCCGCGGGCAGGCCGCAGAATTACACTACTGTCACGATCTTTCTGGAACGTGGACGAAGGGGGCCGAAGCACCCGCCGAGAAGAGACGACACGCAGCCTGGTTGAGGGTGGACGATGACTGACCGGAGCACGTGCGCTCAACGGCGTTTATTCGTGTCGTGAACAATGTTGCCCGCCGAGCCTGGCGGCCTCAGACGGGCGGACTGGAAGGGGGCGCCACTAACTTGTCACACTCCTCCCCCCCAGTGTGTTTGTTAATAAACAAAACTAAACACAATGCGCACGGCCGACACCATCTTGGCGTCTGGCCACGCAAAGTCCCGGCCTGTCGACGATGAAGGTCACCCCGGCGAGTAGCGGTCAGGTGGCCTCCTCTGCCGTGCACTCCGCCTGGGCACTGGTGTCGACGGGCCAGGTGTGGCAACGCCGGGCGCTGCCTGAACTGGTCGCGCTCCACCGGGTGGAGCTACAGGGACCGGATTTGGTTGTGGCACCGCTGCAACTGGTGCCACAGGAGTGGCGACGCTTGTCGCCTCCGGGGTGGGTGGCGCTCCGCTGGCCACGACTGGTGCTGTTGGGCCCCCTGCACGCTGGTCCTCTGAAGCGACGACCGAGGGTGGAAGCCAGGTCCCGAGGCGAGGCCTGACATGGTCGGCGTGCCGGTGCCAGGTGGTCCCGTCGGGCATGCGGACGAGCAGCGATGAGGCACTCGCTGGTGAAACCACACGCCCGGCAGACCAGGGTGGGCCAGGACGGAAGTTCCTGGCGTACACCGACGCTCCCGGCTCCGGCAAAGGCCCGGGACGGCACCCTCGGTCAGCAGCCAGCTTCTGCTTCAGCTGCTTCAGGAGCGCCGAGGACCGGAGGTCTGGGTGCAAGACGTCCAGGGGGGTCTTGACCATCCGGCCCAGCAGAAGCTCGCAGGGGGCACGGCCAGTGACCTCATGCGGTGTGGTCCGGTACTGGAACAGTACCCGGGCCACCTGCGTTCGGAAATCCCCGGGCTGGCTCTTCTTGAGCTTGTCCTTGATGGTCTGGACCACTCGCTCGGCCGCACCATTGGAAGCGGGGTGGTACGGCGGAACCAGCATCCGGCGGATTCCATTCCTCTGCAGCCAGTCCAGGTACTCGGCGCTGGCGAAAGCGGGACCATTGTCGGACACAATGATGTCCGGCAATCCCTGCGCCGCGAAGACCTGCCGCAGAGCCGCAATGGTCGCACTTGCCGATGGACTGGTGACTGGCAGTGCCTCCACCCACTTCGAGAAGGCGTCCACTACCACCAGGAAGTAGTGGCCCTTGAAGGGTCCCGCATAGTCCACGTGCAAGCGGGACCACGGCCTCTGTGGGAACGGCCAGGGGGTGCTCTCCACGTGGCGCGAGGCTCGCTGGTTTTCCTGGCAGACCTGGCAGCCTTGCACCTGGTGCACGATGTCCTGGTCCAAGCCAGGCCACCAAACGTGCGACCGTGCCACCATCTTGGTTTTTTCGATGCCAGGATGCCCCGCGTGCAGCAGCTGCAGCACCTTGGCCCGCAGACTTTGTGGAATCACCACCCTGGAACCCCACAGGAGGCAGCCCTGCTCCAAGCTCAGCTCTGCGGTCTTGTGGCTGAACGCCTGGTGACGCAGCTCCTCCCCTCGGGCAACCGCCTTGACCACCTGGGACAGCACCGGGTCCCGGCTGGTCGCCTGCGCCACCGCAGTCCTGGTGAGCACCCCCGGGTAGGCCCGCTCCAGCAGGAACACATCAGCTGGCTCTGGAACGGCAGCAGGCACCTCCGGCAGGGGCAGGCGGCTCAGGGCGTCAGCAGGTCCCAGGTCCTTCCCAGGGCGGTAGACCAGCTTGTACCTGTAGGCTGCCAGCGTCAAGGCCCAGCGTACCACACGAGGCGAGGCTTGCACTGGGACCGCTTTGTCAGGTCCCAGCAGCCCAGCAGCGGCTTGTGGTCCGTGACTGCCTCGAACTGCCGGCCCCACAGGTACTGATGGAAGCGCTGGACCCCGAAGATGAGGGCCAAGCCTTCCTTGTCGAGCTGGCTGTAGCGTTGCTCCGCCGCATGAAGTCGACGAGAAGCAAACGCCACAGGGCGTTCCTGACCATCCTGACCCCGGTGCGACAGGACGGCTCCTACCCCGTACGGCGACGCATCCACGGTGAGGACCACAGGCTTGGCCGGATCGAAGTGCACAAGCACTGGAGCCTTAATGACCAGCTCCTTGCTGCGCTGGAAGGCCAAGTCCTGCTCCTTCCTCCAGGCCCACTGCTGACCGTCACGAAGCAGGCGATGCAGCGGCTCTAGATGCGTCGAAAGGTTGGGCAGGAACCTCCTGTAGAAGTTGATGAGGCCGAGGTAGCTCTGAAGCTCCTTCTTGCTCTTGGGCTTCGGCGCCTTGAGCACGGCCTCAATCTTGCGGGGTGCCGGGGCCAGGACAGCCTGGGAGATGATGTGTCCCAGGTACTCCACGCTGGGGGTCAGTAACATGCACTTGTCCAGCCTCAGCTTGAGACCGGCGTCCTGTAGTAGTGTCAGGACTTTGCGCAGGTTCTGCAGGTGGTCCCCGTCGTCGGTACCGGTAACCAGGATGTCGTCCAAGTACACCGCCACGTGCCTCATGCCCCTGAAGAGGTTGTCCATCTCTCTCTGGAAGATGGCTGGGGCTGAGGTCACGCCGAACGGTAGGCGCGTGTACTGGAAGAGTCCCATGGTTGTCGAAATGGTGACATACTTCCGGGCGGCATCCTGGAGCACCAGCTGCTGGTAGGCATCTCGAAGGTCGAGCTTGGGGAACTTCTGTCCCCCGGACAGAGCCGACCAGAGATCTTCTACCCGAGGCAGCGGGTACTTTTCGACGGTAGCGACGGGGTTGATGGTGACCTTGAAGTCCCCGCAGATCCTGACGCGGCCGTCTCGCTTGAGGACTGGGACAATTGGTGCAGCCCACTCGGAAGTCTTGACGGGCACCAGGATACCCTCTCGCTGCAGCCGTTGCAGCTCCTGGGTGACCCCGTCCTTCAGGGCAAACGGCAGCGGACGCGGCTTGAAGAATCGAGGCCGGGTTCCCTCGGGAACGTGGATGCCGACCGTCGTGCCGGCGAAGGTGCCCACCTCCGGCTGGAAGAGGGACTGGAAGTCGGTCAGGAGGCTCGGGACGTCTTGCACCACGTGCAGCGCAGCTTCTTGGTACTCCGGCAGCCGAATACCCAGCGAGTGAATCCAGTTTCGGCCCAGCAGCGTCGGCGACGACCCCTTGGTTAAGTAAAGGGGAAGGATTGCCTCCCTGTCGCCAAGGCGAACGCTGACTTGGGCCCGACCCTGGACCTGGGAAAGCTGACCGGAGCAGCTGCGCAGCATGACGTCAGACGCCTCGATGGACACGCCGGGGAAGGTCCGCTTGAACAGCTTCCCGGGCATGACCGACACGCTGGCCCCTGTGTCCAGCTCCATGGTGATGGGGTGGCCGCAGATTTCGACGGACACCAAGTAAGGTGGCACGGACGATGGAGGCTTACTCGTCTGCCACACGTCGAAAATCTGCGGGTCCTCGGCCACGACGTGGACCCTGGCTGACGACGAACCCGGGCCTGGTGCCGCTCGTCCCCGCCGCGTTTTCTTGCGACGACCACCCTGGCCGCGGGCTTGGCTGGAACCCGGGCTTGAACCAGGCTGCTGCTGCTGCTGGCCGCCGCTCGTCCTCCCCCCTCGGCAGACACGTGCGAGGTGCCCAGTTCTCCCGCACGTAAAGCATTGTGCTTGGACGAACTGGCACTGTGAGGGGGAGTGGGCAGCACCGCAGCGGCTGCAGGCACCGCTCCTTGTCGCCATCTTGTTCACCGCCGCTTCCGTCGACGGTGAGCCGGCCGCACGCGCTATCTCGCTGGCGTCCTTCGCTGCTGCTTCCATCGCCAGCGCTGCCTTCACCGCGTCGTCCAGCGAGGGGTCGGGGAGCTCCAGGAGTCGCGTCTGCATGGCAGGGTTGTTGATGCCGCAGACGAACCGGTCCCGGAGTAGCGAGTCCAACTGGTCGCCGAAGGCGCAGGTGCTCGCTAACCCTCGTAGCGCAGCGACGAACTGCCCGAGAGTCTCCCCGTCCTGGCGGCTCCGGTTGTTGAAGCGGAACCGCTCCATAAGCGTGGACGGCGCCGGGCTGAAGTGCGAGCGCAGCGTGGCGAGCAGCTCACCCAGCGATTTGACGTGCGGCGTGGCCGGCTTGAGGAGGTCGAGAAGGAGGCTGAAGACGCGGGTCCCGCAGCTGGCCAGGAAGATGTCCCGTTGTTTCACCTCGGGCGTGTCGTTCGCCCGGAAGAACACGTGGACCTGTTCTTCGTAGACCGGCCAGGCGGACCAATCTCCCTCGAACGGCTCGAGCCTCCCGTACAGCGGCATGGCGACAGGAGCGGGCGGCGGTGTTGAGACTCTCTCGGCGGCGTGGGCCGAACCGTGCATGTTGGTAGCCTCCAGTGCTACGGTTCCTCGTCGCCAGTGTCACGATCTTTCTGGAACGTGGACGAAGGGGGCCGAAGCACCCGCCGAGAAGAGACGACACGCAGCCTGGTTGAGGGTGGACGATGACTGACCGGAGCACGTGCGCTCAACGGCGTTTATTCGTGTCGTGAACAATGTTGCCCGCCGAGCCTGGCGGCCTCAGACGGGCGGACTGGAGGGGGGCGCCACTAACTTGTCACAACTACCAGCGTTCTCGATGCTTGGGCAATTTAGAAAAAGGTCTATTGGAATGCTGTCTGCTTTTGTGTGCTATCAATACCCGGCCGATTGAGTCAAGGCAACCCACTTTCCAAAGACGCTACCATCTCGACAATTACCGCGTTCATTTAGGCTTAGGAAGGCCAAAATCAAGACCATCTAAAAAAATGCGGCGAGGTCATTGCTCATGCTTTGCGATTTAAGTGAGGTAAGGCAAAGCAAAAGCCTCCTGCACCATTCGTTGCTGACTAACGCGCCTGATATTGCAGCTTCAACAACATATTTGTTCCAAAGCGAGCAGCGCTCACTCACCGGGGCACCGTCATGTTTCCCCGCATCCCTACCGAGCCAGTCACGTGATTTAAAAATCCCTCTCCTAGTTACTGCGGCTAACTTTAGCCGCGGTTAGTGCTTCGAGCAAACAGGCCCAGCCTTGCTTGTTTTGTCACTAAAATTTTGTGTCCTTCTTGAACAACAATCCAGCCCCAAGGAGTGGTGCTGTCTCCACCTGTGTGCAGCAGGTAGCTGCACAGCTGGCAAGTGACGTCTCTTTGGAGATGCCTGAAGAGGCGGTGGAAGACCCATGCACTCAAGACTCCATAAAAGGTGTTAATTTAATTGTTTGGCTGGAGTGTTCAGACCTCGAGGTCTACAAAGGCACTGCAAAATAAATTAGGATTCCCAAAAAGATTGGATCATAGGCAGCTGTGCCATCACAACAAATATTGACTCATGGGACTATGAGCTGCTGCTACACACCAGCATGTGTACTAGGTGGTTGCTGTGATACCGTGAAGGAAATTAAGTATTTAGATTATTATAGCCCTTCATATACATTTTTGAACTAAGGAAATAGCTTAACTCTGCTTAGGACATCGGAAAGAAGTTTGCTTTCTTTATTTGTTAAATGCGATAACATTTCTTTCGACTACCCCCCCCCCCCCCTTCCTGTTATCTCAGTAAAATTATGTAAGTCTTATAACAAAGAATGACTGTGTATGTGCAGGATTAATTAAAGAAGATACAGTATATGCACCAGTCTACACTAGCTCCCAATTATGAGCTTGATGCTGTACACCTGTGCAATCTGCTACTGGATGGTGTAGATGACAACGTTTCAGCTGCAGTACATAAGTCACGCAGCTGACATGGAGTGAATGCATGACGTATGTATGAGCCCCCTGCATTTCATCACGAAATTACGCGTTTGCAAGTTTGGTCTTAGGGAGCCACCATCTTGCCCAGTGGGGTGCGCTTGGGTGTGGCCATAATCAGATTATGACGCGTCCAAGCGCACCTCAACCGAGCAAGATGACAGTGCCCTGATGCCGGACTTGCAAACATGCATAGAAGCTCTCCACAGGGGTACCAGTTAAAGCTACCCACTCCTGCTCATACTATTGTCAGTTAGTCATTGCGAGGGTAAGGTATAGTGTTGGCATGCATTGCCCTCCATTTGGCACCAGCAAAAATTTAGTGTACTTTGAGCTTACAAGTAAATTCAGATGACACATTATGTGCAGAATAGGGCAACTTCACTCAGCATAAGATTCATGTATCTATCTGTGCTTCCTTTACAGAAATGGAGAAGGATGCCGCTGTCGGCCTAATCATGATGGCTGGGAATCCTGAGGTGTCCAAGCTGCGTGACCTGCAGATGGCCAAAATGCAGCAGGTCATTCTTGATCTGCAAGCAGACAAACAACGTCTCGAAAGGCAGGTTTGCCACCTGCAAGCCAGGCAGCTTAGTCTCAACACTATCCAGGAGCCTAAGAACTGTTTATATTATACTGGGCTGCCTGAGTTTTCAGTTTTTCAGAATTTGTTTAATTTTCTTGAGCTTCGGGCAGCCAAGATGACCTACTGGTTAGGTAACAGAAAGACAGCTGGTGAGACCAAAGACCGCACACGGGAAATGTCTCTGATTGACGAGTTTTTTATGGTCCTCGTGCGGTTAAGGACAGGGATGGCAGGCAAGGAACTGGCCCGCAACTTCAACATTTCTGAAGGGCAGGTAAGCAAGGTGTTTGTTACGTGGATCAAGTTTCTCCAGCGACAGTTAAGGGTACTGTTACAGTTTCCGACAGTTGCTGAGATTCAGCCCAACCTCCCTAATGCCTTCCACAAGTTTTCTAACACGAGGGCTGTCCTTGATGGAACTGAGGTACGTATCCAGAAGCCGTCGTCGTTGCTTGCTCAGAGGCAGACCTTCTCGCCCTACAAACACTACAACACCTACAAAGCGGTTGTTGGATGTACACCCGAAGGGTACATTTGCCATGTTTCACAACTGTGGGGTGGGACTGTGTCAGACAGAATGATTGTTGAGGAGAGTGGGCTCGTGGATCAGTTGGAGTCGGGCGATGCCATCATGGTAGACAAGGGATTCAAATTTAATAGCCTACCACCTGGAGTGCAAGTGCACATTCCGTGTTTCAGGCAGCCGAATGAACCTCAGATGCCGGAGGAAGATGTGGCACACACCCGGCGGGTGGCCAGTGCACGTGTAGTTATTGAACGCGCAATCGGAAGGATTAAGCAATTTCACTTCCTTGATCGACCCTTCCCCATCTCCATGATAGATATTGCAGATGAGGCGTTTCAGGTTTGTTGCTTTTTAAGCAACTTTCGTATGCCACTCAGCCGTGCTGAGTAGCAGCAGGACATATGTGTCGGCTTCAGTGGCAACCTTCAGCTTGATAAACATTTTAGAATAACTTACTTTTTGTGGTTGAACTCCAGGGTTTTGTTTTTAAATGCAGCACGTCGGAGATGGTTTTGAGGTACTCTAAATGGACCACAGGGTTCCGGAAAAGTTCTCACTTTAGAGCCATCAGTGAGCAGCGAGAACTCCTCCGCTCGCGACCACGTGCTGGCGGGCGCCGCGCAAACAATATGGTAAAAGTAGGAAAGTCTCATCCGGGTCCGGCCACACCCGTCCGGCCCTGTCCCCCTCCCCCTCCGGCTTCTGGCGGCTGTTCGCGGTAGCAGAGAGAGCCGACGCTTTTGTGGATCTAGGATAGATGGCGCCACTAAAATTCCGTATAGTAAAAGTTTTGTCGATGATACCAGATTTTTGACGCATTTATATGCATTTTGGAAGTACAACATTTATAGAAAAGTTACCTTTTATCGAGCAGGTATTCGCACAACTTGCTATCTTTCTACAAGACTCCCCACTGACGTCACGCCGCGTGTTTCTCATGGCCGCCGCTCGCGGCTGCAGGTCGGGGAATACGTATTCTAAGTTTTGCCTCGCTAGTACGTGGCGGAATCGCAACATTTCGACGAAAGGAGGTGTGTTTTCTGTCATTTGTGACAAGGTGAACAATATCAAAAGCAGAAGATGCCAATTCTTTCAACGTTAAAATCGTTGCACAGCTCCTTTAATATTAATGTAATAGAAGGTTGTTTCTCGTGCACCAACGACTTCGGTTTTGGAATAATACCCTGGAACAGTAACACAATGCATCTCGCCCCTCTTTTCACTATTTGTCTCGTGCCCTTAAAGGGATACTACAACGAAATTTCGGCGCTCATTTTTTGGTCTATATGTGTTCAAAAAAGCAGCATCACATCGAACATACCAATATCTTGTTAAAAAAGTCATGAAAAGAAATTTAAAACGAATTAAACGATTAACAAAGAGCACCTGGTGGATGTCGCTAACGCCTCGCTTGTAATGCCCGTCTTGGAACCTTGACAGCTAGTGACGGAGGTTGTCTCGTCTCCGGCCACTACGAGAGAAGAGGGGCAGGAGGAACTCCCCTCTTCCCGAGAATGCCTTTTGTGTGTCGCAGAAGTCGCTATTGTCCCCCTACAAGATTATAGAAGATTAACCCGTCACTCAAAATTCGTACAAAAGCATCCGCTTCGGTGGCTGGAACGACTAGGCCATCCTCTCGACGTCAGTCTCGCCGTAGCTTTGCTCGTCTTGAGACGACCTACGTCACGATTGCGTTGGATGTCACGTGTTCTCCGCTCGGCCTTCTCCGAGCGCTTGCCAGAGTGCGCCGTTTATAACGAAAAATACAGCCACCAGGCTCAAAATACAAACGTGCCATTGTCATTTACGGATATTGTGGATCATATTCAACCTATTTTTGAACACGACGGGAATATTTCAAATTTCGTTGAAGTATCCCTTTAACTCTCACTGGGGGACATCCCCTTTAGATGAGAGAAATTTTGCAGTACGACCGCTAGCATATGGTCTCTAACGTGCATCATGCAGTAGTAATAACACTAACGCATCCTGGTTTGATGCTCATAAAAATTAACGGGGGTGGTAATCGTACCTAGGATCCCTGGGCTTTGTGACTAGAGCTTTCGCTTTACATGCTTTGTGCTGTGACATGCTATGTTCCATTTCACAATAACTTGGTGAACTATGGAGGCTGCGGCCCCCATGATCCAATAAGAGCGTCGGAGCAAGTCACATGATAAGACTCCATGGTTGAGGCCTCCGAGGCGTCGTTTTTGGGGGCACCGAGATGTCGCCAAAGAGTTGTTCAATGTTTCATTTCTTTCTTTTTTGTGCTAACTGAACTTGAGTGATTCCATCTTTATTAAGAATAAATATAAAAAAATTAATGAAAAAAAATATTGACAAATTTTAATGATATTTAAACCGAAAAAGTAATGCGACATTTGTATTCAGTTCGATTTTTTTTTCTTCTTGTAGTGCCGTGGCCGTTGGTGATTGCAGCCGTGTAATCAGCCGTTTGCAGGGCAACTATGGTCGAAAACGAAACCAAAATAAATTACTGGTACCGCTTTAGTGGCACAACTCTCGGCCTGCAGACAACAGCCAGTTCCTTGGTGCAGTGACACACACGCTTCCGCTATGTGGTTTTATGTGCCTCGCTCCGACGCTCTTATTGGGTCGCGGAAGCTGTAAGCTCCACAGTTCGCCAAGTTACTATGAAACAGAGTAGCACACTTGGTCACCGTTCCCCCCTAGTGCCTGCCATGATTGTCCTTAATCACATTTGGCTGTGATCCGCAATTGGCATACGAGTTTAGATTAGATATATCAAAGTATTAGATGTCCTCATTTCATTATTTCATGTGTGTGGTCTTTGGTCTCAATGTCTAATGGGCTGTGCATTTTTTTGTATGATTATACATCTTGCCAGTGTGTTTTAGGAGTGCAACAATTATTATGACTATAGCTGCTTTTTACAGTGTCGATCTAAAACTCACTATCTTCCTTATGCAGTTCGGGCTATTGCTGCCTCATAGTTAGTGTGTTGAGTTCGGTCATATTGTGCATCAATTTTTACTTAAATCTGCTATGTGGGAAGTACATGAATAGATAACGTCAATTATCTGCTGTGCATCACTGTTCACATTTATGATTCTAGTAACTTTGTACAGCGTTATCTCGAACTTGCTCTTTGGCTTTAGTTTAGTATGCAGTTTGGGTGATTACTGCCTCGGAGTCTTTGTGTTCAGCTGGGTTATGTCCAGAGTTTCCTTATTTGAAAAACTCTCATGCACCAATCTTTGGTGTTTGAATATATTGCTTGGGAAGTACATGAGTAGCTAGTGTGAATTCTCTGTTGTGCATCAATAGCGAGATTAAAGTTTGAATAAGCCAACGAAGTTTTGGCTACTTCGGGTCTTTTTCCCTGCAAAGTCGATTGTAATGTTACTGACTTTGACACGCTACCTCAACAAATCATGTGTTAATACAAGTTGGAGCTAGAAAATCTTTTTTTTTTGTTGTTTTTTACTCTGAACAGTCTAAGAAGGAATTAGCTCTGCTTGTTTATAGGCAAATGGTTTTCTATTTATTGTAATAAACTGTAAAAATGTAAACCACCACACCCTGTGTCCTGTTTTTCTGCAGTAAACACCATTCTCAAAGACACGGGAGTGGCTACAAAAGCACTGCCCCTGACAAGCATATTTATTTGGCTCTGAAAAGAGCCGTTGTGACTTGGAGAAGCCTCGGGCTTCATGCAGGCGCTCCTTCACTCCAGCCTACGCAGCTTCTTTTTCAGTCCGGGACCGTCCTCCACCACATAAAACCCTTTGCAGAACTTCTTGAAGGAGACGTACTGGCCGCGAGCTATCAGGGCTCTTCGACGCCTCACACGGCCCGTTACCACTTCTGGGAATAGGGCATGCTTGGCGAAGTAGATAAGCCCTGGCAGCAGTGCTCCATCAACGAACTTCTTGTCGAAGGCGATGGTCTCGACGTGCGTCGAATTGGCAACAGTCGTGTTGTTAGTCCAAAAAACAAAATCGCACCACTGGTGTCCGGTCACTGCCATCTGCCCTTGCACCTGGTAGAAGTAGGCGTGAGTCTTCTTCAGTCGTACCACGCCATCCACAACTTCGCAGCAGAACTTCTTGTCCTTGCATGCCTCCATTGGAGTTAGCCCAATCTTCGAAGCCGGACACTTCACCTCCAAAAGGCCCTCTTCGTTGTCCTTCCTCACGATGCGGTCGGGCGATGCTGCAATGAAGCTGCACTCTGGGTGAATGTGCAGCCCAGTCTCGCGGATCTCGACGGGAGTGTCGAATGCTGCCATGAGTGATGCATAGGCTGAGACTGCGGTACCCTCGTGCGTCCTCCCATAGCGCATGGCCTCACTTGAGGCATCTGGGCTCGGGTACAAAATACCCTTGACCAGGTACTCGGGCTTGACACACTTGATGACAGCAGAGAAGACTGATGCCGTAATCCTGCCCTGCCGCTCTTTGTGCCACCTTGGATTATTGGCTTGACCGATGGTGGACCGGGTCACTTGTTCCCTCTCTTCCACCGTCAATGTTGGAAGGGACTCCATGTGTTTTGCAACAACGTCCCGGGCATTCTCACTCCACAAATCTTCATCATCTTGGATGGGGAGCACTGGTGCCGCTGGTCCAAGTTGCTCTACACCACTGTACAGAAGCCACTGGAGGCCCGGTGTAGACACACTGAGGGCATCTCGCAGTTGCTGAATCTCCTCAGCCGAAGCAACACCAACATTCTCACAAGGGTCAAAAGAGCGTCGTTTCTTCTGCTTCACCGGCCTGTTGATCAGGTACTTGTGGAACGTGATGTCTGCAAGTGGCACCAGGGGAGCAGGCTTCTTGGCTGCAAAGAGAAATTTTGTCAGTTCAGTTCTAAAATAAGCCACATCTAGGTTTTCCATCTTGTAATCATGTTAATAGCTTATCATCCAAGCTGCTTTGTGTAGGAAATGTAGAGTTTCACTTTCATGAAAACGAACACAAAAAGCATTGGCTGTTTGGTTCCACATTTATCTAGCAATGGAGGTGAGCTTGGCTAAATAATTAAGACAGCTTGGACGTTGGTCTTATTCTCCAATATATTAGGTACGAAGTAATAACATATTTCTGAGCAAAAGATTCCTATGGAGCCTCTTTAAGGGCCGTAGTGTACACACCTTCAGCAGGCACAATCCAGGTGCAGGGTATGTCGGTGCAGCTCGTCGAGCAGGCGTTGGAGCTCTCTTCGGCATAGAGCAGCAGTGCTGCAATATGTTGGCAGGACTGGCTTTTCCTGGAAAATCGAGGCAGTCAACCAAGACCAAATTAGCGGGATTATAGCTGCACGCGTAGCAGCTCTTGGTTGCCTTCGTTGTACACAGGCTGTCGGTGCATGATGGAGACATGCATCTTTTACACTACCTAAGCCAAGGAGCAAGCACTGCGAG